GAGATAGGGCAATTTAGAGGTAAATTTTGATTCAATTAAAATGAAACAATTGCCACTACATTATTAAATGTGACCTTGCAAGTGATTCACTGAAGAAGCCAAGCCAGTTTCTTGTGCTCTATTTTGGGCCGGTAGTACATATCTTAGTATATATATATGCTATTTTTATGTAGCCAGATGTGGTGACATATCTTCAATCTCAGCACTTGGGAGGCAGAGGCAGGCAGATCTCTGTGAGTTTGAGCTCAACCTGGACTATATAGTGAGTTCCAGGACAGTCAGAGCTACATAGACCCTGTCAAAAAATAAAACAAAAATTATGTCTGTGTTTGTGTGTGAGTATGTACACACGAATGTAGGTTCCCACAGAGGTGAGAAGAGGCTTTTGGAAACTCTGGCCTGGAATTACAGGTGGTTGTAAGCTGCCTGGTGTGGGTGTTGGGAATGGAACTGGGGTCCTCTGCAATGGCAGGACAGTGTGTACTCTAACCCCTGAGTCATCTCTAGGCCTTGAGTGACTTCTGGGAAAGGTTTGTCATCAAGGTAGGCTGCCACCATTCTGGGAGGCATGCAAGGACAATCACGGGGACTTGGGTAGAGTTGACTCAGTTTGGGCTTCAGCTAGGACTCAAAGTGAGGAAGGAAAGTGGCTATTTCCTCTTTGAACTTGTCCTGTGTGCCAGGCACTGTTCTGGAACTTTGACCTGCCATCCCGCAACTCCTTTGAGTGTGTCTGAATTTTCAGAGTGAGAGAGTGAGGCTCAGTTTAAGTACCTGGTTCAGGTTACACCCTGGAAAGCTGAGCAGACTTCTCTGGTTCCTGGCCTCGCTTGTGCTTCTGGGTAGTTGTAGGGTTTTGCCTAACTTATGTCCCTTGATTCTGTCTTGTCAGTTGTAATGAGTCACATTTGTTAAAGGCCTGAAGTTAATGAATGGTTGTGTGCACATGTGTGTGCTGGTGTGAGCTCATGGCTACTCTTGTTTATTTCTGTATTGTTGAGCTTTTTTTTGGAAGAAGGGGACTAGAACATTGTGTGAACCTAGTTGGAGAAAGAGCATCACTTGTCATCTGTCACAGAAGCAACACTCAACAACCGCTGTTTCCCCCCATCTCCTCTGTGTTCCTCTCTTCGGAGTTTTCTCTATGAAATGGGCCATCGGCCACTGTAGGCACAGCCCAGGAAAGGGGATTGTGAGTTCCTTTTAGCCACAGGCAAGTGATGGACCCATTGCACGGAGGGGAGCTTGCTGTGGGCAGCTTTTGGGATGTCTTGGTGTTAAGTCTGAGGAGATCTGTGTTTGTGCTTGGTCACAGTTAGTAAAGATGGAGGCTTTGCCCGGGACCAAGTGCTGGTAGAAAGCAGGAGTGATTCTTTGGGCAGGCACCTGAACATTCTTCCTTACATGGGAAGAAGAATGGAGAGAGGCTAGAGCTGGGGGCCTTGTAGGAAAGCAGCCATGATTAGCCAGGATAGGGCTGTCTGGTCCTTTTTATGACTTTGGTGGTGTATCCTGTTTTACCTGTGTTCAGATATGATTATGGAGGAGTCTGGCTTTTCTTGTCAAGATTGAAGAGTGGCCTTGCCTAATGGCCACTGGGTTTGTTTATGCTCACCAGAAGGGTTCCAGGGCTTAGGTGTGGGTGTCAGGCTGACTGGTAGCCACCCCAAGGCCTGACGGAGAGCCAGCCAGTTGTGCTAGCTCAGACAGCATTTCTCTTCCTTGAGATCCAGAGGGCCTGAGCCTTGGCTTAGCAGTTCTTCATACCTGTGATTCACTGGCATTGTGCACTTGCCATGACCTGGGCACTGGCGTGGATGACTTGGGGTCTCAGAAACCCCATGTTACAGCTTCAGCCTCCAGACTTCCTTGGGGCTGCAACAGCTTCTCGTGCCGAGATGCCTGACTGCTTACTTCCTGTCACACGTAGCAGCTGATGCAGCCAGATTTAGGATTGCATCAGCCTTCACTCCACTAACCCAGTAATCAGATGATGTTTTGACAGGTTCAGTGTCATTGGGTTTTTTTTAGTAACTGAGTTGAATCACAGAATTGCAAAACACTCCAGTATAGCTTAGCAATGAATTGAACACAAGTAGGTCTCAGCAGGTAAACATGCAGCCATGCTTTGAGAGAGAAAACAATGATTGGCTGGGGTTGGGTGGAGGCCCAGTCCAGGGAAGGAAGGAGAGGTCTTCTTTGCAGAGGTGACTCCATTGTTTACTGGACAGTTGTTAGGCAGGTTGATGAATACAATAAATTCAGGTTGAAACACCCTTCTGTTACGGTGGGTCACTGAGAGCTTTGGCTCAGCCACAAGGTGGGCAAAGAAGTAGCTGTCTCAGGGAACTGAATTCCTGGCTGGTGGCGTCTCTTGTCAGGCTTATCCCAGTGGCAGTCAGACTCACAATGTCCCCTGATGACAGAACTGCCTTCTGAAGGGATGGTTTGGCATCTCAACTTGAGTTTCAAAGAGGCGAGTGTGTTAATTCTCATTTTATTTCAGAAGCTGGTCTTCATGGAGACTGAGGCCAGTCTGCTGTCACTGATGAGTCCTGATGGTCCCAAGATCTGATCTCTGAGTTTGGTTGTACTTGGCCCATGTTCCTCAGTGCTGAGGATGCACTCCCCCTCCTTTGCAAACCTGTAAGTGGCATTCACAGAGCAAGCTCTCATACGGACCGAGTGCCAGGGCTGTACCAAGAGTCACAGCAGCATTGCCCAGGAGAAATGTCGGTCACGTGATTTAAAATGTTCTAGTCACCACACTAAAAAGAGGGGTGAAGCCAATTTCAAAATAGTTAATCCTAAATCTCTAAACTATTTTTAACAAAACAGTATTTTACATTCTTTTTATATTGCATCTTCAAAATACACATATTTTACTTTAGGTTTTGTCCTGGACTGGCCACACCTTTCAGATCTAGTTGAAATTACAGCTGTTAAGCAATCCAATGCAAAAGGGAAAACTGTAACAACAACAACAACAACACACACACACACACACAAAGTACTTGAAAAGTGTCAAAGGATTATGGGGACAAATCACCTGTGGTGTGGAACTAAAGTCATTGACATGGTCCAGGAGAGACAACCATCTCTATCTGATGTCCTTATATAATCGTCATGAAAACCGAATAGTCAAGTTCTTTAACATGTACAGAAAACTGTCACAGGCTGGTTTACACTTTGACAACAGCTTTGGAATTAACCGGGGCACTAACACAAAGATGTCATCACCCAGGGCTAAGGTATGCTCACAGAATTAGGCCCAAAGATCTGCCAAACCCAGATGAAAACGTTGCATTGCCATAGTGTCTAAGTCAGGAGAGGCTCTCTTTGCTTCTGTGTTTAAGGATGCCAGAGATACAGTAAGTCTGCCTGTTTGTAAAGAGATGGAGAAGTGTGCCAGACTAGATACCACATGCAGAATGCTTCCTCGAACTTACCCAGAAATAACAAAACAAATCAGCTTGTTAGGAAAAAGTGTGCTTAGTCTTCTCCCTGCCTCAACACTGGCATGGAAGGGGAGAAATAAGAATGCTGTGGACCCCTCAGAAATGCTAGAGAAGACACCGGGTTCTAAGTGAGTGGATTGAAAACATGAACTCTCCCTCTTCTCTCTTCCACATTCGAGTAGAATCGTGCATTAAAAAAAAAACTAATATTAAATGCGACACTTCAGAGCTCTTACCATAAAAAGTAAATCACATCTCCCTCTGCTGATTTCAGAGGAGGTGGGTGGGTGGTACAAAAACCAAACAGGAAACCATGCCGGGGTCTCTGTAGCTGGCTCCTAGTCCCCAGATGCTGGCTTTCGTGGGCATGCCATGATGTTGGTCCAAGGAGGTAGGATTTCTGTGGTAGGTATGCAC